TTACGAAGGGATATCTGATGCTGATTTTCTTTTGTGTATTAATCGACGAATTAATACTTTTGTTAAGGATGGAGCAGAACGTGAATTCAATGAACGAACAAAAATGTAAGCTAACAACAGGGAATAAAGAATCTCGTAAATCGGATATTACTGCATTCTTCAGATCTCGTACGTATATTAAAATAAGTGTATCTACCTTTACAAAAAACGCAGAATTTTTTAATTATATAAGGATAAGTCCTTACATTACCGTTTATTATAGTTTGGCATAGAATTGAGACGTATGGAGAAGAATCCAAGGGGCCAACAAAATATGGGGATTGCTATTTCTGTAAGCCTTCCTTTCTCTATGGCACAAACGTTCTTTTATGTAAAATGAAGTACTAATTTGAGGAAAATTTCAACTAAATCGAAGCATGAGGGTTCTAAAAATTACAGGGAGTGACACTAACATGCTAAAAATCGTTTGCAAAATTTTAAGCTTTAACCATTGTGTTGCTAAAAATCCTTCCTCGAATTTTAATTAAAAGTGAATCTGTAACATTTTAGCTAAATTGTGTTTAATCCAGTAGTATTTATCGGAAAAATTCTATTTTATCTATACAAGATCAAAGAGAGTTTGCTTTAACTTCTCGGTGATAAAGGGGTAAGTAAGTTTGACTACCGAGGAGATATTAGTAATCTGTTGGTGTGGCCACCGAGGATTTACCGACCTTTTTGCGATTACCGACTGTATTCTGAGCCCCATTGGGCCTCATTCGCTATTCCAACACTCCCAACGATTACACGAACACTGCTACTCTTTAACATACTTGAAATATCTGTTCAGAAAAAGAATTAAGGATCGAAGGAACCTATTAATAATACATACTAAATAGTACATTCGGAAAATCAAAGTATTCTCAAGGATATAGAAAAATAGATTTTTTCTATATTCAGTCCGTGCATTAATCTAATTTAATAGTAGATACAAAAGGAATACGTGACATTTATTTCTATGCATTTACATTGCGCATAATTAAATCTCGGTTATTATAGAACATTTGTAATATTGATCTCGTACATAAATCAGTTGTTATCAGTAAGAACAAATATGAGGACTGCGTTTCCCTAAGAGACAGATATATCTTGAGTTATTATGACCCAAATGTGCTGTATTTGGACTAAGTAAGAATAATCGATAAGTTTATGTGGCATCGTGTAAATTAAGCTCCACTCAACCGAGAATAAATGACTTCATTTGCAACTCAAGACACATTGTATGGAAAAGCGTTCATCAAAGCGTTATCCATATATTGAATTCTAATTTTTGTTTAATTTGGAATTAGCGACTATAACTTATAATATTTAGTCACGCATATATATTAAAAAAAATTGTAGTTTCTTTTTTGAAGCTATTTTAATCTGAGAAATATGTTAGGCAGTATCATTTTCCTTTCTTTGACATAATTGATAATTTCGTTTTCGTCGGAGAAAAGTTCGTTACTTTTAATTTTTCTAAAGGTAATCATGACTGTAAATAATGATTAGATGTTTATAGAGCTGACCAAATGATGAGAAATACTACGTAGACTCATATGAACGAAGTATGCTGCCGCTGTACACTTAAAGCAAAAATATTTATTTACTACGTAACGATGTTCGTTACTTCATGAAGTGAATTACGTCTTCCCGGCTTATTTCCTGCCGCGAAGAAAGAAGGTTAACAAGCGTGGAAGTAACGCTTCATGTATGCAAATGGATCTTCAGCAGGGTCTAAACTGGAGAGCTCGGGGCTGATTTCATTGTACGTACGATTATTGATCGACTCATTAAAAGTGTTTTCAACTGGAGACAGCGCTATTCAGAATGTCATGCGTATATCTGTGTACGTGTGTGTTTGCGAAAATACCGTACGTTTAACTAACTAAAAGAGAGTTAACGAACCTTAAGGGTTGCTGCAGTTCGGGCACGAATTTCTCGAAGGTCCAAATTGGGATACTAAATTCAATTATTGTTAAATATACGACTGACTCTGCAACTGGATATGAGTTTGAAATTTCGTATCGCGATGCTCGTTGGCTCAGTTCATTTAATTTGCTAGCAAAGAGTACGAGTGAAAAATATCGTCAAATATATCAGCTTAGGAGTTTGAATGAGAGAAAAGTTACTGACGTATTGTGTAAAGATAATTACATTTAAACTTGTATAAATGAATAACAATATGTATTTTCATTCATTGTGTGTATGTGTCAGGAACAGTAGCTTACTTAATTAAAATCTCAATTTAGTTGAAATTACGTACGGCTGGGTAAACACGTGATAACTAAGTATGGTAAAGTTGACGTTATTATGACTTCATTTAAATAAAGGTAATGGTTATCAAGCTTGAAAGTTTAACAGCTTTCAGAATGTTCATGCTTGTTTCTTCTAAGGAGCTTTGACCTCAGTTACAACTAAATTTACTTGAGCAGCGATGCCCCAGGAGAATCACTTTACCCCGAGGGACACCACGATTTAAAGCCACGTTGCTCATAATATTTCAACGTATTTACTTCACATTATTATATTTAGTTAATCAAAGTCAAATAAAATTTTGTAACCAACTTTTATCATAATTATAATCGTTAACAAA